CTAATCACGACTCTCCTGAGCATCCCCCCTCCCTATATAAGATAATACGCTAAGGGACAGGAACTGATTGGGTTCATCCTCAATAATCCCATCGCCGCGCATGAATCAAATATATCGCATTCGTTTTAAAGATCAAATGGCCATCAGAGGGGGTGGTGGGGGGTGGTGGGGGGTGGTGGGGGTGGCTTTTATGGTCATTACGCTAAGCACCTTGCTCACCCAAGTTATTTCGGTTGGTTGCTTTTCTAATGCGGGCGCCTGCCCGCTTGGGGCGGGGTGAGGTATTTGTTTTTGAGTTTCGAGCCACTGCCAGGTGACATTCGCGTTGGGACGCGCCACGCGTTCACTGGCGTGCCGAGCCACACGGACCGCTCGTAGCATATCGCATGGGACCCGCGCACTTTTGCCTAATCCCGCAGTTAATTAACCATTCAAATCATCTATCAAACGCTTGGAGGGGAGGGGAGGGGACGGGGACAGGTTTTGGTGAAAAATTACGAAAATTAAGCTGATTACGTGCTCACGTCAAAGCCCACCGGTTTGAGCCGGTAATATCTGATCCTGCAGGAAATTTGCTGGCCGGATTATCGAGGTGCTCTAATTACGAAGAAGCGGATGGGACTTTGCGGCGCGTTGCTGGATACGTTTCCAAGTGAAAGTTGAAATGTGTCGTTCGTATCGATTTTTTTCTATCTTTAACGGGGTAAAACTCCGCATCTCGCTGGACCCGGCTGAGCGTATTAAATATCGCCACTCGAGAGCGCTTGAATGAGGCACCAAACCGCTGACGTTGACATTGCACAGCATCGGATGGTGACCGCACCAGTGCGTCCAGGGGCAGCTGTTCGCTGTTTGCAAACAGCGCAGATAGTCCTGAAAGAAACAGAATAGAGAGAGAGTTAAAGACATATCTTGTTGTTTTTTTATTCTGGTGAGTACATAGTGAAGGCTGTGTTGAGGTGTGATGTTCCACACGCGGGCAACACACCTCCCCGATGTCGATTTTAAAATCAACACCTGCTTTTTTTCATTTAGTTTTATTTGATTTTGTTAAACACAGTTACATCGCTCATCTAACGGTGATTCGACACATTAAGTCCGATCGCTTATTTTTACTTCCGTAATTGCATTTTTTGTGTCCAAACGATTTCCACTCAAGAGAAAGATCAGACCGTAACTATATGTATGCAAATACAGCACGCGGCTTGCAAAGACTTAATTCCTCATCTGCATGAGTTCCATGTAACTTAATAACTCCCAATGCTTCAAATTCGGCCTTAATCTGCTTTTTTTTCTTCTTCCCTCTGCAGGTTTATAGAGCACGCTTTCCCCCCCCCACTCTCTCTCTCTCCATAGCCCTGAACCAAACGCGATTAACAAGGAGGCAATAACAGTGGTGAGGTTGGGTGGGTGGGTGGAGGGGGGGTTGGGAATTAATTTGAAGTCACAATTATCCGGAATGAAAGTTCACACGCGCGTTAAGCTTGCAAGCGGCTTGCGCTGAGTGAGTGAGGTTTGCGAAGCCTCCATACCTGTCCGTTAGACAGACACGTGTAGTGTATAGTACATACAGACGGGCATGTTATACAGTCGGACATACAGATAACAGGTCAACAGCGTGGAGTAACATACAGAGACATATTCTTGGTTCTTTCGGTAAAGTCACGTAGAAGGGAAATAATAAAATAATAAAAATAAAACAATAAAATTCTCACGACGTTTCGATTGCAACGCAAGCAATCGTCATCAGGTGTGAAAACCACTTTTTTCAAAATTTATTTTCTGTGGTTTTCACACCTAATGATGATTGCTTGTGTTGCAATCGAAACGTCGTGATAATGTTATTGTTTTATTTTTATTACTTTATTATTTCTCTTCTACGTGACTTTACCGAAAGAACCAAGAAAATGTAATCCCTGCAGTCACGAAAGCTTTAAATCGAAATACAGAGACATGAAACAGAGAGACGAGAGTTTTTTTTTTAAATAAAGACAAAGATCCCCCGTGTAGCCTACACAGGCTGTTGGGGGAAGTGTTGTTAGTGCGCACTTACGAAGGCCAACACGGTAGACAAGGCGGTAGTGTGGCTAGCAACACGCCCGACCGCCTTTGTCTTTCCATTGCTGAGTTTATTACACAACGCATCAGGTACTTATTTTTTGGCCAAGTCGACCTCGGCAAGTCCCGGGACCGGTTCAGATATTCTTCACTGATGTTGGCCTGGAATCGACCTCGGGTCGCTGTGTTTGTAGTGAAAGCTCTCCAGCCACTGCATGCGCCATCGTTCCAGAGACACGCGCGTCGGTTGTGCGAGGGCTGCGTCTGAACGACCGAGTGCACATTCGCTCTGAAACTCACGCAAGGTTCACTCACTCTTTCACTCGTTAATTCACGCCGGGAAAAGCAGCGTGCGTCGCTAGAATCCTGAATCGTAGCTATGTATGTTAAACTTCTTTCGCATCGTACGTAGCCAACCGTGCTAATCGGAGGTGCGGGGGTGGGGGGGGGGCAACAAACTAAGCACACAAACGCAGTCCTCAACAAGTGAGTTTTCAATCTAGATTTAAAAGTGCATAGCTCCAGTGGCGTCCTAATATCGGAAGGAAGAGCGTTCCAGACGGTCGCAGAAGTGGTGCAGTTGACCGTCTTCTTTGTTCGATGGCCAGCCAAAGGCCGCTGTTGCTCACGCGGTGAGCGGTGAGCAAAAGGTGTCCGTTGTGCTGCCTCGGGTCGTCGAAATCGTTCACCAGCCCGAGTTAAACTCGCCCGTTTCACGCGGAATTTTTTTTGTAAGCGAACAGAAATCATTTAGCAAACGAACAGTTCGCAAGCAAGCGCACAGGTGCACTTTCCACATTGTCCATGCCGGGTCTGGGTGCACTTCATACAACGACGACGACGACTCTGTCTGCGTCCCACAAAGCGGCATCGACGCCCAAAAGCATGATGGGCTGAAAAGACTCGTAACTGAAAGCTTAATGCAATTACAATTGGCAATATCTTCAATTGGCTGTACAGTTTATATAACAAGGGCCATTATATAAACCAATGTGTATATATATAATCACACACACGTCCTAAAACTCACAAAGAAGTCATACACGCGGATGAGTGATTAATGTAATGATACAATATATAGCGATATATAATATACATGTGTGTCCAATGTTCCTATACACATCGCTTTAAACAGCGCTTCAAACACTATTCGCGGATTCATCTTCTTGGTTCTTTCGGTAAAGTCACGTAGAAGGGAGATAATAAAATAAAGCAATAAAATAATACAATTCTCACGCCAAGCTTGGCGGTGTTCATTCAGACGCTGTCTTTCCGACAGACCTGTTCTTTACCTGAGGACGGCTGCTTGCGTTGTGGCCGAAACGTCGTGAGAATTGTATTATTTTATTATGTTTTATTTTTATTATTTTATTATCTCCCTTCTACGCGACTTTACCGAAAGAACCAAGAAGATGAATCCCTGTAGTCACGAAAGCTTTAAATCGAAACTATTCGCGGATTTACTATCAACTAACTTTGCAGATGAAATCAGCTCATGCAGGGCAGCCGCTCGGTGGATTGTTGCATCGCACGACTCGAGTGCGAGGTGGCAACGTCTTGGGGAGAGAGCTTCATTCAGCAGTGGATCGAGCATGGTTGAAGACGATGGTGTGATTACCAACTTTACAGAATGTGTGTGTATCGTTTGGCACGCAGTTTCCACTGCGATAACTTCTTTAGGGAGGTTATACGTACCGTGTGTGTGTGTGTATATATATACACAGTATATGAAAAACTAATTTTCTACGAATGTATTGGATGTCGGTGACGTCAGATGTATGCAATCCTGTCAATCCTCTCATAAAGCTGCCAGTGCATCCTTCGACTTGTGTTTGTGGTGCGCGCACCGTTGACTGCACATCTGGTACATCTCGTTTGTGTTGTCCGATTACGATGGGTCTCTATCCGAGCCGACAGGTGTACTCTCATATTCAATTAAAACAACGGCACAGAGCAATGACAAACACACGAGGGATGATTTTTGGTTTTGTTTTTCTAAGCCAACTAATGATATTAAACATGAATGATTTGTTACAGCGCGTTCCATTTAATCTAAAAAAATGTACACGACACCCCCAGTGGCAGCTGTCCCTGTGCAGCACAATAAGGGCGAATGCGTAATCCAAATTAAGTAGTTTAAAAAGGGCTTATTACTTCGAATGATAATTTCGGATGCGTTTCCGTGGCCTGCGTAAAATCGCATTGTTGAAACAAATTATTGCTTTATATAACCCCCCGTTATGGAATTTATTATGAGTTCCCACAGTGTGTCGTGAGTAAAAATAGTCTGCCATCTATATATGGTCTGAAACTTGTGCTCGAGAGCCGAGGGGTAATTACGAGAGTTTGCGATTTGGGCAAGCGGCGCATTGCAGCCTCTGCGCTCAATTCTTGGGTTGGGACGAATCCTGAATTGTACATCTGCACCATGCAGGGCTGGCGTGCGAGATGATGTGAGTGAGATGAGTGTGCGTATGTATGGGTTTGCCTATTAGATGGCCTAAGATGGGAGTGTACGTGTTGGCGTGTGTTTAAATATATATGATCTCGTGTATTGGCCGCTGTATTGACTGGTTCATTGGTAGGTGTATGTGCAGATGCATGACCTGACGCGAGGAACTGGTCGTGTGGAATGGTGTATGTGCTGCCCTGTCTGATTGCATGTGATGAATGGTGGCATACGCAGGTGCGTGGACTGCTGGTGCATGGGATGGCGGGCGGGTTGTATGAGCTGGCGTGTGGGCCGACCCCGCGTCCCACTGTGTTGTGAGTGGCGTGACCGGATTACGGGCAACTCCCAAACGGTCAGCGGCGAGCCTCTGGGCCGACCCCCGGCCCCCCGAACCTCGGCGCTGCGTGCGGCGGGGGTGTCTGCAGGGATCCCGCCCCCAGAGCGCATAAATAACGCGCCGCGCCCGGGCCAACGCTCGCGGCCACGCACCCCAGCTCTTCCGACCCGCGGGGGCCTCACCATGACAGAGAAGGAGGGCACGCGCGCCACCGCCCCGGAGCCTCTGCCGCAGCATGGCAAGCCGCGCGGCCACGAGAGCGGGACCGGCAAAGCCACCCGCACAACGAAGGGGGGCAGCTCGACCCCTGCACTGACCCCTGCCCCGACGGTGTCCGTCCCGCCGTGCGCCGTGGTGGTCCCACCCAGCGGCCCGAACGCCGCGCTCGCGGTGCACGGCCCGGTGGCTCCCCGCCGCTCCACGGGGTTCGCCATCCAGGAGATCCTGGGGCTGAACCGGGAGCCCCCGCGTCCTGCTGTGGACCCGGCCATGCTCCAATTGGCCGCCGCGCGTTCCGTGCTGCACGCCGGCGGCGGCATGGGCGGCATGGGCGGCGGCATGCACGGCTTCGTGGGTCACGCCGCCTTCTCGGCCTTTTACGCGCCTCCCGCGGCCTTCCTGGAGGCCCTGCACAGCGCGGGGGACGCGAGGGCGGCGGGACACGGGGGGGTCATGGGCCCGCACCTGGCCGCACTCGCGTGCAGAGCAGCGCCGCACCTCGACAGCCACCACGAGTACAGCTCGGGTGAGGGCTGCGTCGGCGTTCACGCGCGGGCGACTGCGGATGGAGGGGGTCGTGGTGGTGGTATGGGGTGTCGTGTTGTGTGCGTTGTGTTGGGGAGCGGTGGTGTAGCGGTTAGCGCGCTGCGCTATGAACCCGGCCACCCGGGTTCGATTCCCGCACACGGCCAACACCAGTGACGATTATCTGAACCGGTCCTGGGCCTCCCCTAGGTCGACTCAGCCTCAAATGAGTACCTGGTGCAGGTGTGTAAACATCGCCACTAGGGAGACAAATGCGGTCGAGCGTGGTGCTGGCCACCCACCCCCTCGTGTACCGTCCTGGCCTTCATAGATGCTCGCTAACAGCACTTGCCCCTACAGTCTGTTAAGGCGAAACGGGGGATCTTTGTTGTTGTGTTGCAATAGCTACGATGCGGCGGCGTGTGTTCTGGTTGTGTTCTGGTTGTGTGCGCGTGTTGTTCGACGTGACGGCACGTTGTCCGACGTTTCGATCCACGCGCTGGGTGTTGCTTCCAGAAAGTTCTCGGAACTGAGGAAGCTGCTTGCACGTGGAGCGCGCGCTCGGACCTTGAGCGAATGGTTTCGGAACGGCTGAACAGACGTTTCGGGCCATTGTCCTTGTTAAGAAGAGGTGTGTGCTGAGTTTGCTGTTGTTAGTTGTGCGTATTCACCACTGCCAACACGGAATCACGGTCTACTATCGTGAACTAGCTTTTAGGCTATAGCAACAACAAAATCGGCATGATGTCCGACGTTTCGCTTCACGTGCTGGGAGCTTTTTCAGTTCCAGTACGTGGAGCGAAATGTCGGACATCATTTCCGAATAACGCGCGGTGCGACCCGAAGACGCGTCGGAGAGCAGCCGTTTGATGTCTGCTGGCGCGAACAGCTCGCGGAATCGTGGGCTTGGTTAGTTGCGTTTCAGACGCAAAGGCGGCTGGATTTTGTTGGAAGGTAAAGTTCTAATTCTATGGGTCTTTCGGTGAAGTCACGTAGATAGGTTAAAAAAAAAGTAAAAATAACAACAAAAAAGACCCGTAGAATATGAATTACTGCAGTCACGAAAGCTTTAAGTTAAGAGGTAAACTTCAATTTCGATTTAAAGCTTTCGTGACTGCAGGGATTCATATTCTTTGTTCTTTGGGTAAAGTCACGTAGAAGGGAAATAATAAAATAATAAAAATAAAACAATCAAATTCTCACGACGTTTCGATTGCAACACAAGCAATCATCATCAGGTGTGAAAACCACAGCCACTGTTTTAAAATGTTCTTGCTGTGGTGTTCACACCTGATGATGATTGCTTGTGTTGCAATCGAAACGTCGTGAGAGTTGTATTTTTTATTTTAATTTTTATTACTTTATTATTTCCCTTCTACGTGACTTTACCGAAAGAACCAATAAGAGGTAAACTTCAAGCTGACAGTTTTGTCATTGCTCTCAGAATCGTTGCCCCTGCATTGGCTATTGATAATACAGTTTCTCATTGTGTATAATTGTTTGTGTTTGAGCAATGATGTGATGACGGCGCTTTTGGAGTGGCAGATTTGTGCCAAAAACGTGCCGACGCGCGTGAGCAAAAGAAATAAAATTGACTTGACTTGGGATAAAGTTGCCACGTGCCGGACATTGCGTTGGTTCTTGTCCGAATGCGGCTCGATCAAAACATGTAACTGACGCAGACGTTGTTGTTTAACAACTTATAGTCGAAACGTAACTGTTACAATCACTCATTCCGTCGCTTTTGATAATTGACACGCGGGGTGGAAGCGGTGGTGCAGCTATCAGCGAAGTGTGCGTTTCACGTCGCGCGCCCAGTTCGATTCGCGGCCACGGCCACGGCAAACGTCCGAACCGTCCTTCATACAGCAGTGTAGCACGTAGACTTTCCCGAGCAATATCACCCATTACACAGAGTAAATATATAAACGTGTCGTTAAACCCGCCACCACACGACGCAGCCAATTAGTAAGGTTTGTCATGCACAGAACACACATTTATATATTTACGCGAGCTCACCCAGAAACCCCCCCCCCCCTGTATTATGGATACAGCAGCGTATTCAGAAGCGCTGTAAATCAGTATTACTTTGAGTACGCACGTACCTGCTTACAGACAAAACACCCCGCGACATTCTGCACAATAGCTAACAGCACGAATAATGGACACTCAACCACATCAAATACTTTAGCGAAAGCAATGATTATTCTCAAAATTAAGCATATAACCTCATAGACAGTGAACGTAAATTAACAATGAATTGTTATTATAAACGTTCAACTGCGCTGGATATACGCATCTTAACATTGTCCGATGGTGTGCGAATTTTCCGATGTGGATGTTTTTCTTTACTCTTTGGTTCGTTCGGTAAAGTCACGTAGGTATAAAATAAAAGCAGGATCTGCTTGATCTGCTTTCCCACCTGATGACGGACGCTTGTGTTGCGCCCGAAAACGTCGTGATTTATTTTATTTGATACCTACGTGACTTTACCGAAAGAACCAAAGAGTATGGATTCCTGCAGTCACGAAAGCTTCAAATCGAGATGTGTTTCTTGTTGTTAGCGTTCGCTCGCGCGAGTGACGTTTCTCTCGGATGTCATTGTCATTTACTGATTGATCAATTCCTTCTCAGATTCTGAAGACATCTCGTCGGGAGACAGGTGCGCATTGAATGTCTCCAACGGCTGCCAGTCGAAAAAGCGGAAGAAGCGACGGCACAGGTGAGAGAGTGCGAGTTGGGGGGGCGGGGGGGGGGGGCTCCGGGCCACAGGGAAGAGTGGGAGGTCTGACACAGGGCGGCACATGCCTCTTGTTCCCAACATTCATCTCCAGCCATGATCAATCCACTGCTGGATGAAGGCCTCCCCACATCATTCACGGTTCCGTGATGCACCAAATCCACCCGGCACCAACACTCCAGCTGATCTCTTGGGTACATTGAGACTCCAGCACACGGTATACACCGTATGTACAGCCCTTTGTCAATCCACTGCTAGACGAGTCTACTTCTCTGGCCTCTCCGTGTGCTGTGAAGAAGGGTCATTTCCCGAAACGTCGCTTATTACAATACACGTTTTCTTCTTAAAGCCACAGTGTTGAGGTTTTTTTTTTAATGTCATCATCACTCCTATAAATGGAGGAGTCGTAATGCCGAGTCAGTCAATAGGGGTGTTGCACCACACTCCACCACGCTGCCCAGTGCGGTTTGGTGAAGGTCCCAGGAGCGGTTCGGCCGTGAATCGCTCGCCACTGATGAGAGCCGTGGTCGGGCTATGGCACTCAGGACACGGGGCTCATAGCGCAGTGAGCCACGCCACCGATTCCAGCAGACAGTTGATAAACTATCCTGCACACATGAGCTTCCGCTCTACATCTACCCTATTAAATATATATGGCTACCTTTCAGCATGCCTGTCAACCAATACGGTTTAGCCCGTATTCTTGTACAGGGAAATTGAGTTTTAATGTCCAGACGACGTACAGTCGTTTCGATAAGTGCAAAGCATTTATTTTGTCTGTTTTGTCTGTGTTTCTCCCTTGTGATGGGACTTTGTAGGATGAACATTGAGATTTATAACGGCACGGGGTGACCAATAAGGTCTGAATTGGTCTGTAATAAGTTAGGGCACTGATAAGGGGTTGACAGGTTTGTTTAATCAGCTTAGTGGCCGTCGAGAATCATATTAACAAGCAGCGTTATGTTTAAACACGCAAACTCTGGGCCGGGTTTGCCCATTTATTGCTCATCAGCAGAGCCCCTGGCAATAGCTTATCCAGGTTTCCCTCGCTTTATGCGGGGTTGGTTTGTACGATTCTTATTTATTTCTACAAAAAATTCGCTCTATGCAGGTTGAATTCACTCACATGCGGCTATGCGGTCGGACGTGGGACAACATTGCGTGTGTGTGCGTATTGTGTGTGTGTACTGTGTATAGTGTGTATGTATACTGTGTGTGTAGTGTGTGTGTGTAGTGTGTGTGTATTGTGTGTGTATTGTGTGTAGTGTGTGTGTAGTGTGTGTGTGTACTGTGTGTAGTGTGTGTGCGTACTGTGTGTAGTGTGTGTGTATTGTGTGTGTGTAGTGTGTGTGCTGTGTGTGTGCTGTGTGTGTATTGTGTGTGTGAAGTGTGTGTGTACTGTGCGTGCTGTGTGTGTGCTGTGTGTCTACTGTGTGTGCTGTGTATGTGCTGTGTGTATACCGTGTGCGCTACTCGACAGGCAGGCGTCTCGTGCAGTTTCGCTTTGCGCGCCCATTGTTTTTTGAAGAACGCATCTACTACCGCACAAAGCGAGGGAAACCCGTGCTGACTGTACATGTAATATCATCGCATATAGACGAACATATAAAGTGTTTACATCACGGATAACACGTATCACATTGTTGTTGAAATGATTTAGGTATTTAAAAATATTATTTAAAACATTACAGCGCTATGATGTTGAACCGAAGAGAAACACACATCAGGATAACAATAACAATGTGTTATGAATGTAATGATGTAGTTGCCCTTCTGTCAACGCACCGCTGGATGAAGACCGCTTAACGCTGTATCGCTCATGAGGGTCGTTTGACCATACTTCGCTGGGGCGGTCAGTGCGGGGCTGGTGGTGAAGGGAGTGTGTGCTCAAGGGACAAGGACCGCTTCCGATGTCACTCAACACACGTTCATAATATTACTGTTATCGCTGTGAGAACATTATCACGAATGAAAATAAACTGCTTTCCCAACTTTGTTGAACGTTCGATGATATATGATGCGCAACGTCTCTGTTGCAAGTGATGACCAAATTATACGTGTGTATATAGAACAGAAAAGGTGTGCGTGCCCGTGAGTAGTTTTAAAATAAATGATAGATAGCTCAACGAAGTGGCTCGTCACGTGGAAATTCATAGCAAACCAAACACTCCAAACGCATGTTTCTTAATGAGAAGGGGGAAAACCGTAGGACGCGACTCCGGGGAGAACATGCAAACTCCATATCTATACAGGCATCAGGGTCGGGATCGAACGCACGAACTCCAGTAGAACAGGCGAGGAAGATAACATCTCGTCACCGCGGCCGCCCCTATTTCGCGTAACCAGCAATGAGCAACGCAGCATCGTACCCCGACCGCGTGCACCCGCAGCGGGCACGTGGCGAAGTGCGAAAAGACGCGCACGGATGCAATCGTCAAAATATCCACATGCAGGAACCTCCTGGAAGACGTGTGTTGAGACTCGGCGAGCCTTGATGAAATCTTGACTTAAAGCTTTCGTGACTTCAGGAATTCATATTATTGAACCTATCTACGTGACTTTACCGAAAGACCCAAGAATATCTTGATGATATCGTTCAATTCGGCGTCGTGAGAGTGAAAATTATAACTAACTATGAAATGAAAGTTGAACAGAGCAAGCGAACGACGTTTTATGTCCAAGGCCCACAGTCAACCTTCGCTGAGTGGGAGGTCGCTCATTCTCTTCTGCTGCCCCCATCGTCTGGAAGTCTCTTCCCCCAGCCACCTGTGCTGTCAACTGTCTGCCTCTGTTCAAGTGCAGGCTCAATACTTTCCTTGTTTTGCCCGTGCCGATGACCGACTGATACTCTGTGTCATATAAATGTTGCACATCGCTTCTGCACAGCATCATGAGACGCGGTCGCAATCAGACGCTGTACGAATCCGCATTTTTTAAATATTGTTTGCTATGCTCTTACGCGGCTATAATAGCTCTGACATCGCTTGCACTTGTTAAAAAAAATGCGACGGCTACCTTAACGATTATCGATGCACAACTCATAACACAGCAACGGTTGCGCATGGTTATCCGGATTAAAAAAAATAATTTCACTTCGTTACAATCATCGAATTCTTCCAGTCTAAATCGAGATTCTGACTATTTGCAGGACAATCTTCACGTCGTACCAGCTGGAGGAGCTGGAGAAGGCCTTCAACGAGGCACACTATCCGGACGTGTACGCCAGGGAGATGCTGGCCATGAAAACCGAGCTGCCCGAAGACCGCATCCAGGTTCAACATTCTACTCTTGCACATGAGATGGCAGAAACACGATCAGGAGCTTCAATGTCGAGGTCCGCTCGGCACGACGAGAGGGCTTCAGCAGAGAGAGAGAGAGTTCGTGTAGTTTTGCTACTCCCCCTGCTCCGTTAAAGGAGTGCAGACCACAGTCGTTTTCCTAAACGGGGCCATAGTTTGGGTTGCATGGCCACAGTCGTGATGAGCAGAGAGGCGATGTTGTGGGGCGATCCGTGAGGGGTGATTCACGCGCTCGCGTTGCGGAGTCACCGGTTGCGGTGCGAAATGACCCGGGCGCCCGCCTCGTCCTTCTGCTGTCAAGCTGAGTACTTAGTTTGGAGGGGAGTTGTTTTGAAAACTCTGTGTTGTTTGTTGTTATTCTATATATTAATATATTATTCTCAGTTTCGAGTTGATTTTGTTTAACAAGATGAGAACTCAGGAGACCAGGATGACGTCTCGCGTGCAAACGTTACTTTGGTCACGGAAAATGGCTAAACAGTACAGCAATTAAGTACAGCAATCAGAACAAAGAGAAATGTCAAAACAAATGCGACAAAAACACTACATCACGTCAGGTATAAAAATATCACAAACGTAGATCAGTGTTAAATGAAAACTAAATATGAAATGCCCTGCAACACAAAATCGGTTCGGGCAGATTATAGTACCTCCATACTAATCATGGCACAGATGACAAAATTATATGTTTGATTGTGATAATAATTACATTAAAAAATCCCCATTAGATTATTTAGTGCAATATTCTGTAATGTCTGCACAGAATTACCTGATATATTCATATTTTATCTGATAAATGAAATATACATTTAAATCGAACAAAATGACTCACTAGTGCAATTGACCTTGGCACGTGACATATTTATGCATGCAAAGACACTTAGTCTCTCCACTGCTGGACGAAGTCTTCTCCACGCCTTGCTGATCTTGAGGGTTGTTTGACCATACTTCACTACTTTGGTCAGTGTGGGTTACCGAAGGCAGTGGTGTGGTCAGCACCACGTCCTGCCGTCTTATTCTCCCCAGTGTTGATATTTCATACCCACCGAACTAGTTACTCCGTTCGGGCTGAGTAGACCCAGTCGAGGCTCAGAACTGGTTCAGATAACAGTCGCTACTGATGTCATCCGTGGCTGGGAATCTAATGCGGGGCGCTGGGTTGGCAGCCCAGTGTGCTAACCACTGTTCCACCGCTCCAACACGTCACGTTTACAGTTTAGTCTTGTACGTCATACTTTATCACAGAGGGAGGGCATTTAAAATGCACCCTTGAACACGTTAAAATAAGAAAAATACCAATACCAGTAAGAGTCACATGTTAAGCAAAGTCTTAACTTCACGCACAAAGGGCAAGGAATTGGATGAGATCAGGCACGCTGAGCGGCAGATACACTTAATGAACCTGCGTTGTGCCACATTAAATCCGCCTTATTATTGTCTCAAGTGCTTAGGAGAAGGAGCGACTCAACAGTGATACCGACAACACGATTACGACGACGGTGAATCCGCCCCTCAGTGCAAGAGACAATTCCAGCTAAAGTACATTGCTCGGGCTCGTTTTTTGTTGTTTTGTTATATCGGGTTACTACTGTGGGTCTACAAAGCATACAAAATAATACACGCCGTCTGCTTCACATTGGACGTTTAAGGACGATCCTGCAACGTCGTTCACAACAAGTAGGCCATTCATAATATAGGTTTTTTTTGGGTGAGATCGCATAAATATAAATGTCTCGTTAAACTCGCCACCACCATCCGACATAGCCAATTAGTAAGGGTTGTCACGTAAACGAAACATGCCAATTCGTTACTCGTTCAGCACACCGGTGTGTCGGAGAGTAAACCCACAACATTTGTAATTCGAGTACGACGTTTCCCCGGTAATTACAACCAGCCTCACCAGGCGACAGCCAACACACCGGTGTGCTGAACACGTATCGAATTGGCCGGTTTAACGACACATTTCTATTTACGCGATCTCACCCAAAAAACACTCTTATGGATATTGGTCGCGAAAGCCTCCTCCTCCTCCTTCTACTACGACGTGTTAAAGTAGGCTACTGTGTGCTGTCGTCATGGTCCAAAGTAGAAAAAATGCTTACCCGGAAACTAGTCAGTTCCAATCTACATTGGAAACATCGCCCACTTGCCGTGCAAACTTGGCAGGACCCTCGTGAAAAGGAGTCGTGGGACTCACCGGGACTTGCCGGGGAAACAAGCGTAATACGCCAATACCCCGGTTTACATTAGGGGATGCGTTCCTGAACGGTGCGACGACGAATATGGAAACGACTTCAATCAAAGCGATTTACAGCGTAGGTGGAGAGGAAGGCTGAAGCGACGGATACGAGAGAAGACGGACGATGCTGTCAGGGACATATTTGCAAAACGACGTAAATCGGGGTATGACTGTAATCATTTAATCGGGAGTTCTGGAGTGGGGCGATGCTGCGCATTGCGCCGTGAAGCTGACGACTTGAGTTCCAATGGCTAAAGAATAACCCCCCCCTCCTCCTCCTTTCACCAACCCGCACTGAACTGCGGGGTAAAGTAAACTCAAACAAACTTCCACGACCGACACGATGTGTGGGATGCTTTCATCCAGCAGTGTTGTAAACCAAACTAAATAGAACATTTTCTTAGTTTTTATCGGTAAAGTCATGTCAAATAAAATTAATAAAAGTAAAATAAAAAATAAAATAAAAATCACGACGTTTCGGAGGCAAACACAAGCTTCCGTTTTCAGGTGGAACCGTCACAGCACGAGCGATTTATTTTATTATTTATTTTACTTTAATTAATTTAAATTTAAATTTTTTTACCTACGTGACTTTACCGAAAAAAACCTAAGAATATGAATCCTTGCAGTCACGAAAGCTTCAAATTTTAAATTGAAAATTTAGCAAAAGATATATTTTTAAACATGTAGATTTGGATCTGAATCTCTAAGGCAGCTTGCACAGCAGACCCGAGTTGATATACCATATCACTCGAATCTGATTTGCTGTATAATCTCTGCAAATTACACAGCGAATCATAGCGGGGAAGAAGCTATGGCGATGTTTGGGGGGCGTGATGACATCGTGAACATGCGTTTCTCTCTCGGTTCCCCAAGGAGCTACCCTTGAATTACTTTGCGTGTGGTGGTGATGGGGTGGGGGGTTTACATATACACCGCTGTCCATTATGGGGGGTGGGGGTACAGCAACCCACAGATAATCGCCGCTGTATCAATGCTGCGGGTTGCCCACACGCACTTGACCCAGCCACCCACCGTGACTCGCCACGACGTGACCGTGATTTCGGCGCGTGACATAATCAAAGGGGACGTCATTCACGTGTTGCTGCCCCGGCTCCCCCATTGACAGGCCGTGTCTCATTGACCAGGCAGAGCGAGGAAACTCGGAAGCAGGAGCAAGGAGGTGGAGGAGATGGAGGGGGGGGGAGCCTTAGCAGATCGACAGATGGTTGGATGAGCCTCGCGTTCACGTAAAAACGCGAGTTGCGGGATGTACAAGCGTTCACCTAGACTCGACTTAAATCAGCTCATTATATGTAATAGTGGCAACAGCCAATGTTGGACCTGAAGAAGAATGACGCCACTATAGGCGTGTATTGTTTTCTCTCTTAAGCCTAAACTAAACAAATTAAAACATTCACAACTTGCGCAAGAATTATGTCACATTGCTATACGAAGCGTGCTCTGGCTCCTGTTGTGTTTTGCTGCTGAAGACATCGTTTTTACACGTGCATGCGTTATCAACAGGGAACCGCTTAATGGAACATATTCGTTTTTTTACTCGTACCTAATACTTTTCATATAAAATGTTTAAATCTATTTTGTATTTTTTCTGACATTACTCTGGCAGTATGATGTGTATGAATATGAATGACGTAAAGTGTTTTTTTAGGAAAACATCGTCAATATTAAAAACAAAGTCACGCTATTTTGAAAGGTTAGCCATACATACAGATGATGCAATATTGATGCACACTTTAATAGGGGCAACTTTACATTACGATACAATTAAATGCAATCTTTGCCTCGAGTTTCCTGTTTGGTAGCTGCTTGGATTCCTCTCTCCTCTAGCAATACCTCTGTCGATTGTGACTGCGGGTCGTTGCCATCGAAACTATCTGGGCAACTGGCTAAACGGAAGTTTCCGAGCAACGAATAAACGTTGAATTGATGTTTGGAAAACGTAAAATAGATAGCGACACCGAAGAGGTCAGAGTAACGAATACAGAAGACTGACACGGTTCATTAAAAATTGTTCCAACTGTTAGATTTGTGCTCGTATGATTACAGTATTTAAAATACTATTTAAATCCTAGAGGATATATACATCAACTTACAGTATTTTAATGGAATTTTATTACGTAAAAAAAGCAGATTACTTTTCGTGCTCCGACCATAGGATTGTAAGAAGGGTATGAAATTGACAGCAGTCCCTTATCTCATGTTGTTCAGCAACTGGCTCTCTACTAGTTATTATTGCAAAATACCTATGCAGCGTATGTGAAGTGTGTATATATTAGAAGCCACATTTTAATCGTATATTTTCCATCGTTTTAAGATTCGGATTCAGTTTATAGACTTAAACTGTCCTGCAATGCGGCTCCAACTTCCCATGTCCTTGCAATTCCCAGATCCCTCTTCGCCCAGCACAGCCTCGTAACCCAGCCTCTTCCATCCCCGAATGCCCCTTTTCACTCGGGTGGGACGTAGGCAGTGGCACAGCTGTCTAATGTGCAGGCGGTGCAACTGCACCAGTGCCCACACGGCCTGAGTTCCGGGCTACGAAGAGGCTGGAGTGGGGGAAAAGGAAATAGCCAGGGGCCCCATTTAGTTCCTTGCAACACGTCCCATGTCCTGTTTCTTCCTCGCAATGCCTGACTTGACGAATTCCCTCCCATCGTTTCTCTTCCCAAGTTGTTCCAACCTCGTTCAAGTCAAGAAGCGCATTCACCATCGCCGATTACGATGTTAATATTTCTGTTTGCTGCTGGCTGCTTCACATTTTGGACCTTTGGCACGCTGCTTTTTTAGGGTGAATTAGATTAGGGTGAATCACTGGTCAAAGATCAAAGATCCCCCGTATAGCCTTAACAGACTGTAGGGGCAAGTGCGGTTAGCGAGCACCTATGAAGGCCGGAACGGTACACGAGGGGGTGGGTGGCCAGCGCCACGCCCGACCGCCTTTGTCTCCCCAGTGGCAATGTTTACACACTGCACCAGGTACTCATTTGAGGCTGAGTCAACCTAGGGGAGGCCCAGGACCGGTTCAGATAATCGTCACTGGTGTTTGCCGTGAGCGGGAATCGAACCCGGCTCGCCAGGTTCGTAGTGCAGCGCGCTAACCGCTCCACCACCGCTCCACCCTTGGTCACCCCCTGACTCACGCACTGCGCGGTGTCTGTGCACATGTGCATGCGTGGTCGGTTGCTGTGCTCAGGTGTGGTTCCAGAACAGGAGAGCCAAGTGGCGCAAGCGTGAGAAGTGCTGGGGCCGCAGCAGCGTGATGGCCGAGTACGGCTTGTACGGAGCCATGGTGAGACATTCCATCCCGTTGCCCGAGTCCATCTTGCGCTCGGCCAAGGAGGGGGGAGCGGTCGATTCCTGCGCGCCGTGGCTTCTGGGTGAGCACCACCACCACATTCAGCTGCCGGCAGCTGCTCACAATCACAAAGTCAACAACGCACGCGGCCATAACACTGCCCCAAAGAGGAAAGAAAATCCGAGAGGTGACGATTTACACATTCCTGCGGAGGGAGCTGGTAGGAACGTTGGGTTGCTCGGTCAATGGCCAGGGTCAACGGCGGCGTGGTGTATTCCGCAAATATGGCCGACTGTGAGGGCGGGCACAAGCTGGCGTGAATAGGTTAAACGTTGAGTTTTATAAGGGCAGCCTCTCCCCACCCAGCCCCACCCCTCCCACCCCCCACCCAGCCCCTCCCCACCTTCCCCTCCCCACCCAGCCCCTCCCCACCTTCCCCTCTCCACCCAGCCCCACCCCTCCCACTCCCCACCCAGCCCTCCCCACACAGCCCCTCCCCACCCAGTCCCTCCCCACCCAGCCTCTCCCCACCCTCCCCTCTCCACCCAGCCCCACCCCTCCCATTTTTGGATTCACGACGGACGGACGGGCGCAATAATCCCCTGTGGGCTGGTGGAACCAGGTGGTTCCTACCAGTACAATGGCCTTACTTAGTGGCACAGAAATGTAGAGGCCGTAGAGATTGAGTGAATATTAATTTGAGGCTGCACTTTACACGTACCCTCTTGTAAATAGCCCCGCAACCAACAATTGCCACCACTAAAGCGTTGCCGGCGAACTCTGAACCATACACTCACGACTCAGGCTCGGCTGTAAGGGGCCGTCCATAAATGACGTCACGCACCTAAGGGGGGTGGGTCAGATTTTCGTGACGATGTGTGAAGAGGGGGGGGGGGGGGTGAGAAATGTGACGTCACATCAAAATGCGCAACTTTAAATAAATATACAATTGTTATAACAACACTCATTGTTATAATACCACTCCTACAACATCAGAGTGCAGCGCCACATTAAATACGCACTACAATAACAATAGTTTAAGCGATTTGAAGCATGTTTTATTCAAAATGGAAATATGCTTTTGGGGAGGGGGGAGGGCAGAGCTTTGTGACGTCATATTTGAGGGGGGGGGGTCTGACTTTTTGTGACGCCGTGTGACGAGAAGGGAGGGGGGGGTCAAAAATCGTCCAAAACCGCGTGACGTCATTTATGGACGGCCCCAAAGATCACGCACGCATCTCGCAACGTCGCGCAGGCATGCACAAGAAGTCCGTGGAGAGCTGCAAGCACGGGCAGCAGCAGCAGCGGACAGACGTCGGCTTCAAGGGCCGCGAGGTCGGCGTCCGTGACCCGGACAGCTCGGCGTCACCCCGTGACGGCGACCCAGCGGCGGCTTACAAGGCACGGCCAGGGTCCCCGCACGGCACCCCGCAGCGTCCCGTCGGTCACGGTACCCCGGGACCCAGAGCCACCGTGCAGCACTCGTCGGGAGGAAGCGCCAGGGACGGCAGGACCGGGGTACGGACTCCCTCTTAAGGCGAATCTTGCGGGGCCGCTCTGCTGATGGGAGCTGTTCCCTGCGGGGTGGATGATGATGATGATGGTGGTGGTGGCGGAACTTGTGAGTGGCACGAATGGGGAAGAGGGCTTTGTCACACGCGGCCACAGTTGAGCTGCGGCGAGCAGCCAGCGTAAACCCTTTTATCTTTGTTGACCCACAGCATCGGCCGTGTTGTTCCGCTGTTTGTTCGGTCAAATCGAGTTAACTTATGAGAAGTTGTCATATTTATTCGTGTGCTAGAAATTGAAGAGGCGACAGTTAAGGCATACTTTATTGTTCCAGTCAAGGTTGCCCCGTTGTAATTGGCGGGTGTGCAGGGAGTGTTCTGAGCGCCAGCATGCGGTGAATGGCCGTATTTTGTCATTTGCCGCGAGCAGTGCTACGTGATGTTCAAGTTTATTTTGTTTAAGCAGGTGACAACTCAATAAGAGGCGAGAAAAGTCTAATTTTCAAGAGTGACCTTGAATCTTAATGAAGGATGCGAATGCAAATGCAGGTGATGCCAAAGAGGCAGCGGTAGCCGTTTAACAATGATTCAAATGTGTGAAAGACGCGGGGCTTAATTTCTTACTATTTTCTGGGTCGCTGATAGATTTAAGGAGGTGGCACCGTGACGCCCATAGCGAGAGATATACTTGATGTGGTGTGTCGGGCATATACATATTTTATGAGTCGCTGACCCAGACAGACCCACCTGAAATGAAGTCCCGAAGAGATTAATTATTTTACAGAATTCTGTACAGGGGTTAATGTTCCAAGGGCTAAACATGAACAAACTGCAGCTGTGACAGTCATATGCGAGGAGCACATTTCTTAACTAAACGAGGCGTGAATAGTCACACGGCATCTAGTTCAACGTTACCCAAGAGCATAAGCCAAGTATGAATATTATGGTAGAAAAAAATACACACATTGCAAAACTGTGCTAAGGTCATCAAACCCACACTTGCATCGAGTAATACCTGCAACTCATTTCAGAGCTGTTCCACAAGCACATATTGTATGTTGTAAATACTTATTGTTTTATCATTATCGATTAAATATAACTTTGGTTATGTTCACAGTTTTTAATAATTTTAATTTAGCACCGTGTAAATAAGAAGCAGTGTTTGCTTTAGTTATGTTTGTAATCTCAGCATTACATTATCTCTCCCTTACATGGACAATTATACGAATAGCGAGCACTAACATTGTACATTATGTAAATATTTTACACAAATAGTGGAAATAAAGCCATACACATTTTGGCGATAAGAATTCTGAAATCTTTACAAACATGGGGGCACCTTTGTAAAGGCCTCATATTACACGAGTGGAGGCCCTTCCACAAGCAGTGGTGTGAGCGAGCAATTGCAGGGCTGCACCTTTACCGTAGCAGAAATTTCAGAAAGTAAAACAAATTGTGCTCAGTCAAGATGCCATACTCCTGTTGAAGTGAGGGCGCTGAACCAGGTTGAGGTCATCATCGACAATTTGAGACGAGTTAATCACTTGAACAAACTATTTCATGAGAACAAAGTTTCTCGGGTGTGGGCAAAACTAATATTTCTGGAATTCAGTGAAATCTCTTTACGAGAACTCAGTATTTTCCTACTTTGTAATGGTAACAATTTAATCGGAAATTACAGGATGACAGAAAACTTAAGACGTGACCTGGCAGTTATTACAATTCTCAACTCCACTGACTAAAGTAATCAGTATCTTTCGATTGCCCTGGTTTGACTAACACACTGAGAATTGCATTGCTCTACATAAACCATTTCAGCACGATTGGTAAATCCAATACATTGGCTTGACTCTGCATAATAACTCACCAACGATTAAATCAGACGACCCTAAAGATAACCACTACACTTTTATTTCTCCGTTTGTACATCCTTTAAAGTTATTTATCGTGATAGCCCATAGCATTATGTGTTTGTAAAACTGACATGAACGTGTTGATATGTTTCCAAGGCGAGTTTTAACAATCCACCCTCTGTTGTTATTTAGTAACTTCACGCTGTATTTGGGTCACACGTACGAAAAACAAGTTTTAGTGCAAAACATCCAATAAAATGCGACTTAAAAAAATTCAAATGACTTTATTGGAACTCATTTTTTCAGCACAAAGTACTTTGAAATCACCAAGTACCTTGTTAATAAAATTGTCTTTCTGTAGATTTGTAAAAAAAACATTGTGCAATTACTTTCAAATCACAGAACTTTCACAACATATTAGTAAAAAAAAATACGTGGAAAATATACCAGATTTTAACTTGTTGGTAGGAGTATACTGGATTACTGAAACCACAAACCGATCAAGATATATTTTAATGAACGTGACTGAGAAGCTGTGAGACACGTTCCAACTTTGAAAGTTTCAAACATAAAATCTGACTTTGCACTTCGAATCACTATGAAAAGACGAAGAAAAAGATCTACCTCGAATAACCTGAACAGACTTTTGGGCAAGTGGTGTTAGTGAGCACCTATGAAGATGGGCATGGCACACGAGTGGGTTGGGTGGCCAGCAACACGCCCAGCTGATGTTGTCTCCCGAGTGGCGATTGTTTATGCACCGTAACAGGTACTCAGTTCAGATAATTGGCACTGGTATTGGCCACGAGTGGAAATTGAACTTGGGTCGCCAGTTTTCGTAGCACAGCGCGCTAACCGCTACACTATTGCTACACAGACACATAAGCCCCATCACAGAATGTCCCTCTGATACAGCGGTGAGACACAGCGATGAGGTACACCAGCACACTTAAATGTGTTCACAGTATAACACAATAGTTTTCATCCCAGCCAGACATACCGCAAGTCAAACATAAAACAATGCATACAGCTAATAATACGCGTAAAATAAAATTTCCAGGCAGGAAAAGGTGGATCACTACTCCCATTACGCCTTGTATGTCACATCACCACACTGCACCTTTAGATTTCTTAAAATCACTGTTGCGTGAGTTATTATTGCTCCTATTTGTTTCAAGTCTGCACTCATCTTCATGCCTGATGATGTTCTCAACATATACAGAGTTAGATTTGGTGTAAAGCCATGCACAGGTGCTGTTCATTGACTGAATAGAGACAAAATATGTTCTGTTCTGACCTTTAGATAGTGTAATGTTACAAGGTATGAAAAGATAGCAGGATACACTTCTGGATACAGCAGCACCTGATGGCATATCCAGTTGTAAACATGACACCCATGCAGCAAGATTATCAATGCAACATAGACCGAAGAATGCTGCCCAGAAACAGTGGGCATATTTATTTAAAAGAGGCAGTCACTCATAGGCAGATCAAAAAAGGATGGTGTTGAGCCTGGATTGACAGGGATTCCACAGCACGGATGGCAGGAGGAAGGCAGTTCGAGACTAAGGGGGGCAGAGAAGAATGGGTGATCTCCCACTGAGTGAAGGTTGACTGGGGGCTTCGATAGGAAACATCGGTTGCTGGAACATGGAGAGGAGAAGAGTGAGATGAGAGGGAAGAGGAGGGCAGGAGCAAGTCCAAGGTGGACTTTGAAGACTGCGATCTTAAATCGATCAGCATGGAATGGGAGCCAACAGAGCGATTGGGAGTATTCGGTCAATGGGGTTTCATTTACGGGTTTGAGTGATGAGATTGGCAGCTGCGTTTTGGATAATCTGGATCTTGGAGGAGAGGGATTTTGTGAAGCCGTAGAGGAGACAGTGGCAATGCTCGAGTTGGGATGTGAAGATTTAATGGACGAGGGTCTCATCATTGGACGGCAATAGAAACATGGCTCATAGCACCACATTTGTTACCCATGTATCACATGGTCTATTATGCAAGTGTGGCTACTGAGTGAGAGACAAACTAGGTGACAAGCATAACAATACAACCAGTTCACAGCTGTTACAGCACCAAAGTCCAAACACTTGCAACAAAATACAATACTACAAGCATACAAACTTTAAAGAAATATAGTACTGTATCAATCGCACAAATGTATTCACAGGCTACACAAGCAACACTCGTATAATCAAACACACGGTGATGTATGCCCACCGGCGGTACGCACCCAAACATCACTCGCTCATCTATAAAATCTTTAGTATTGCAAGTGCATTTTAGAACTTCTGGAAAATAAATACACTTTTCCAGCAGACTTCCATGTAAAAAATGTCAAGTTACATTTGATTACATATACTGAATATTTAACCAAAAATGTGCACTCACTCAACATTAACAATGTAACAAAATGAATTGTTGTACTGTTCTATTTACACAAAATGTTGCTTTTGTGTTTAGTTTGTTGTCCTTCCCTGCACCTCCGATTAGCTCGGTTGGCTATGTACAGTGCACACGAAGTTCAACATACATACATACATATGACACATATGTCTTCAATGCAAACAATAGTTTTTTCTCTCTCTTAAAAACAAGGCAATTTTGATTCGTAAATACAAGTCCATTAGTCTTGATCAGCAATCATACTGACATACACACAACATGTAAATCTTCAATGTACGCGATTGTTTTTTTTCTCTCTCTCTCTTAAAAACAAGGCAAATTTGATCCGTAAACATGAGTCCATTGGTCTCGGTCAGCAATTAACTGACCGCACAACATCCAGCAGGAGACTGCCATCACCTGGGGTCATGGAACAGAGTCTGCAATTCCCACCGTCCCTTGCCGTACAACTTCAACATGGAGTCGTGGAACTGTGCAAGAAAGAGAGAGAGGGGGTCGACATTCCGATAATTTTCAATTTGCAACAATAACAACAAAACTTTATCACAACAACAATAACGCAACACGCTTTGAGTGAGCCTTTCAAAAGATGAAGGACAGAAGGGAGAGGCTGCGATGAGGTATACTTCTCAAGAAGCTACAATGGTGAGGTGGTCAAGGTGGCTGAGAAGTTGAAGAGCACCGAGCCAGCGAAGCTGAGACCAGAGGTCGCAAACGGGTTTTGATTCCTTACCCGTACTCGGCCGGGTACGGGTACCCGTTCCCTACCCGTACCCGTACCCTACCCGAAATGAGTGACAAACGGTTACTCACCAGTGACTCACGGCCTACCCGTACTCGTACCCGTACCCGGCCGCACCAGGGTCGCAAACGGCTACCTGTACCCGTACCCGGCCGGGTACGGGTAGCCGGGTATCAGGTAGGGTACAGGTATCGGGTACCCGGTTGCGACCTCTGGCTGAGACCCTGGGTTCACATTTGGGCAGTCGGTATGGAAGCTGACAGGTAGCAGTCAGGGCATAACATATTTGCGTATTTTAACATTGTCCTTTTTCCCCTGGTTTGTGTCTCCGAGTTTTTGGGCAACCCTTTGACCAACTGGGCCATTTTCTATTAGGGCAAGTCCCCAACAACAACACAGCTGTATACCACAGCTTGGTTCATATTGGATCATCACCACAATAGTCGCAGTACCCTCTGTTACAAAGACAGACAAACTTATTGCATGAACGCTTTGATCCTAAGTTGCAAAGCATTAATAAAGTAGACGCAGCGGCAAGACACCTGGTGTATCGGCCGTATAATTTGCCTGTGGGTGATGATGCGATGCTTTTTCCTCTAGTGGAGGGCCCTGTGGTAATTGGCCCACCTCCCTCCTCAGCTTCCCTCCCCGGCTGTAGTCCCTGGCTGCCCTCTCCGACTGCTCTCCCCCCCGACACTCACCTTCTCCAGGCTGCTGCGGTGGCCCACACTAAGCACCGTCATGCCCAGCTGCTTGCACATGCGGTACATGTCTCCCTCCACGTCCTCCGTCAGCGCACTCGTCGCCTCGTCCAGGACTTGTGTTTGGGGGATTTAGCATCGGAGGTGGAGGATACGACACAAGGCAATATAAAACCAGGAGAGGGTCATTTAGAGATAATTCTGAACCAACAACTCTAGTGTCTCAAAGCTCAAACAAGTTTTGGGCTTGTGCTAATCTCCTCTGATAACTCTGAGAGCCAGTGGTAGGAATCCCACACCACGATTCCACATTTACAAATGATGAGTATGAAGGTATAGCAACATTTTACAGTGCAATGTTAAGTTCTGACATCCCAGTCAACAGCTTTGGCAGTTGCAGTGAATTACAAATATGTTTACGGATAATGAGCAGAGTGGAGAACCGTTTACCAGATGACATTCCAGATCTCCTTATAGGACTCATGGTCAGCCATGACATATCTATTACAGGATAGCATAGCAAAATAGGAATTAAAGTATTTTCTCCTTACATTAGTAAATGGTTGCCATTTTGTTGTAGGGCTAAGTAATTCTGAATTTGATGAGGAAGGCACTCTGTACAATAAACAGCTTTCATACCTGCATAGGTTGGCTGATGGTAGAAGAGCCTTGCGAAAGTCAGTCTCTGCATCTCTCCAGGAGAAAGGGCATCGGACCTGTTCAGTGAATACACACCGAATCAAACTACCACCAAGAAAAATAAATGACAATGGAACATACAATCGAGAGATGAATTAACTACCCTTTTTGCCATATTCCATAATTTCATCACAACATCATCTAAGATAACAGCGGTGCCATTTGCTACCATTGTCGCATAAAGCCAAAAGGGCCTCACAGAATGTTGTCAGATGATTAAAGTGAATACAGTAATGTTATTCTATTTATTTATCCAGGAAAGCCTCAGCGAGCCTCAAGACTTATGTTTTCAGGAGTGTCCTGAATCTGGACGTTTGGTGAAATCCGTGTTCAAGAGTGTTTTGTGAGCGGGAGAAAAATAGACAACCCAGAAAAAAAATCCACAAGTGCAAGAGGACAACGTTCATGCACATGTAGAGTCATTGTCAATCCAGTGATGGATGAAGGCCTCCCCATACCCCACCATTCTGGTCAGTGTGGGTTGGTGAAGGCACAAAAGTAAGAGCATAGGAGCACAGTGCAACAATGGCTCTTGCTGCGCTCTCTTGCGCTGCCCACTGCACAGAGAGGGGATACTACTCAAACATGAACACAGATGGGCCCCAGAAGTCATTTGCTGTACTGTCATCGCCTGGACATCTCTTATCCCAGTCGGTTGGGAAGTTTCACAAATTGTAATTATCCACCACTCCAGGGGTTCAAGGCTCTGGATTAAACATTGGCTCCACCACACTCGAACAAAAAAACACGATTGTCGTTTAACCACCCAGCACATGAAGAAGAGTTACAAGACAAGAGCTAGCAGGGTCATGTATATCGCATTGCCATCTGATTCGCAGTGCTGGAGAGAATCAAGAACTCCACGAGCCACACACTCACCAGCTCCAGTCCACTTCTTGGTCAAGGCCACCAGTCCTATCCAGGAGGGTCGACTACAGAGCGCACACAAAACAACAATAACGTGTGGCATGTGTAATTCAAATGGGCAATATCACATCTGCGTACCGCAGCACAATAGGGGGCTTTGTCTACTTTGGTAACAGTAATTTACACAAGAGTAATCGCCTTGCCACTGGGAGGTTTGTAGATTGTGTGATGACAAAGCCCTTCACCAGCTGGTGTGTTACACAATAACTATTGCGCAGCTGTAACAGATCTACTTTGCCCCATTGCGCACACAGTATTCTCCACTAGTGGGCCAGGCAGTGTTAATTAATAAGAGGTTTTTTGGCTTAGATTGCGTAAATATATGTCGTTAAAACCCACCACCACCCGACACAGCCAACTAGTAAGGGTTATCACGTTAACAGAACATGCCAATTCGTCACTAGTACAGCACACCGGTGTGTTGGAGAGCCAAGCCACAACATTTACAATCTGAGTACGACGTTTCGCCAGTAATTACAACTAGCTTCATCAGGCGACAGTGTTCATTAAACTGCACCCTTGTAAGCGAAAATGTAAGCCCTGCACCCAGGGTTAGGGTCCGTGTATTGCAAAAGGTGCGGGGGTACGTCTCACCATCCCGACGCAGTCCAGAAAGTGTAAAATCCTCTTGTCATCAAAATCTTCTGGCAGACCGGACATGAAGGTTAATTCAAGGTGGTCTTAAACACACGTGATCAGAGTGACTGTCTGCTCAAATGGGCATTGAGCCCGTGCTTAAGCTCATGTTTACAGCCCTGAGCCAGTGGAGGAAAGCCGCATCCCTATGGCGGGGATTGACTTCTCCAATCAAGTGATACTTATTTTTATCGACCCCAGAGAGATGATGGGTTGAGTCAATCTGCAAGTAGGATTTAATTTGCAACCGTCTGATTGTGAGCTGCTTGCACAATTCTCTGAGCCACCTGGCTGCATTAAAACACAAAATAAGATGACAACCAGACATATCCCTTTTCATTAGGAATGTACATACACAGGAGCTTATTAAAAGTACGTGAAGGGAAATTACAACACCTGCATAACATGATCACAATTAAAACTCCGCATTTGTGTAAGTAATAGTATTAAAAGCCAATAAATGCATGGGTCACTGTGAGGTTGTGCAATGTCTAAATGTAGTGGTGAGATCATCAACAATATCTGTAGGCCTCATATAAGTAACCATAACAATTCTATCTCTCGTAAAAAAAAGCCTGCTTACCAGTAACAGGGTACATCTCCTTCAATGGGTAAATGACCTACAGCAGAGAGAACATCGTGTATTAAGCAAGCTGGTTCAAAAGGGTACAACATACAAAGAGGACCGAGGATTAATAGTGCTTGGATGATGGGTGACCACTGTGGATAAAACAGGTGTTTGTAGGCCACTGCGGAGCCTACATTGCCAGCAGAGGGCAGTGCAGGTAAACTCCATTGTTGTAATTCCCAATTTATATATTGGTCAGATCACGTAAGTAAAACGTGTGTCGTAAAGCCCTCCACTCGACGCAGCCGATTAATAACCCAACACTCGGTAAATACATTTCCACGTAAACAGTCTCCAACTCTTATTCACTCTGTCTCTCTGGCCTCTGTATTTATGTGCTATGAAGAAAGACTCATTGCCCGAAATGTCACCTATTACACGTTTTCCCTTTTATGGCATCCAGTGCTACTTATAAATGTGTTGACCACTGACCAATGCAGTGTCACCAAACATTTTTTTCAAGAGAGAGAGAGAAATGGGGGCGAGTGACTGCAAAGCAATGGACCTGCTCACGGAGGGTCCCATCAGTGAAGTAAGGCTTCTGCGGCAAGAAGAGAATTCCCCGTGGCCCAAAGCAGGTCCTCATGTGGACAGAGCCTGCGCGACATCGTGCTCACATTGAACACATCAGTGGTTACGCACAAGATGCTGTAGAATATAAAGCACCGGAGCTTCCCTCCTGAGATGAGCACCATGGCACACAAGTGACCCACAGCTTTTACAGGACAAGAATCTTTTCCTAAATCCTGGCATAGCTAAACAAAAATCAATTAATATCAACGGCAAGCAAATGGTACATATTAGCAATAAAACGACATATACTATACACGTTACTCCATTTTAAAACTCAACTTTGTTTAAGGTAATATGGCCAACTACAAGACACGATTGTTTGGCTAAACAAAACGTCAGAAATGATTCACCTCCATTTCAATTTGATTTATTGTCACAATTCAGGATCTCCATTCAATTTAATAATTTGCTACTGTAATACATGTAGAAAACCTATACTAGATACAAGGTGTCTATGACCCTGCAGATTGTTCATGAACCAATTGCATCATAACCACCATTACCAGCCAAGATCTTAGTTTCGCACTCACCAACCAACTGCATACTACGTAACAGTATTCTTACACTTGAGATTCAATGTATGTATTGCGAGAGTAATAACCAGTCCCTCCAGAAAAACGCGGAGTTTTTTGGTGATTGTTGCGGGCAAAAATCGTTGATTATGCGGCACGTTTTCTTAAAAAATGCGATGGAATATGCGGGATATTTATGCAATTTTATGCGATTAAATTGCGGGAACTTGCCAAAATTGCGGGAACTTGCAAAAATTGCGGTTTGATGAAAAAGAGAAAAAAAAGTGTTTCCCCCAACACCTTATTCACTAGGCTACTACTTTAATGTAAAGAGTAATTTCTTATTACTTCCTATGATAAGCAAGCATACTACATCACAGAAAGTGCTGGGAATATTTAAGTTCTCATCTTGTTTTATTTCAGACCTTAACAAACAGATGGCTCAAACTTACAAAACATTGAGTCGAACAAGTTCTGTAGCTTTACAAAATGAATATGCTACAACTTCTGTAAAAATGAATAAATAAAATATTAAAAAATTAAATGTGTGCTTCCTGTTTTACAGAGGTAGCTATACAAAACAGACATCTTCTGTTAAAATAAGTGTTTTCAGTGCACAGTAACGTAAGCAATACAGTAACAGTACAGTCTTACAGTAATGTAAATTTACATACTACTAACAAAAAGTGCAATCTTACAACTGTAATGAGTGACGTCACTTCATAACGTTCCCATGGCAACAGGGGAAATGGCTGCGCTTGTGTGAAGTAAACGCAACATTTTTCAACTTTCTGCTAAGATATATGTGACTTTTTGCAACGGAAATGCGGGGATTATGAAATCATGCAAGCCCGCATATTTTGCGCGCGGAAATCTGCAATTTATGCGGCAAAAGTGCGGCGTATTTGAAAAAACGCGCCCCCCGCATGAATATGCGGACTTTGGCTGATTTTGCGTGGAATCTTGCGATCGCATAATCGCGTTTTTCTGGAGGGACTGAATAACAGATTTCAATCATGATTTAAAGCTTTCGTGACTGCAGGGATTTATCTTCTTGGTTTTTTCGGTAAAGTCACGTAGAAGGGAAAAAATAAAATAATAAAAATAAAATACAATTCTCACGACGTTTCGGCCACAACGTAAGCAGCCGTCATCAGGTGAAGAACAGGTCTGTCGGAAAGACAGCATCTGAAATGACGCTGTCTTTCCGACAGACAGTGAAGAACAGGTCTATCGGAAAGACAGCATCTGAAATGACGCTGTCTTTCCGACAGACAGTGAAGAACAGGTCTGTTGGAAAGACAGCGTCTGAAATGACGCTGTCTTTCCGACAGACCTGTTCTTCACCTGAGGACGGCTGCTTGCGTTGTGGCCGAAACGTCGTGAGAATTGTATTTTATTATGTTTTATTTTCATTATTTTATTATTTCCCTTCTATGTGACTTTACCAGAAAGAACCAAGAAGAAGAGATTTCAATCAACCGATGCGAAACAGCTACGGTTGGGGAGCAGACACTGTCGCCGTCCGCCATGCTCGCCTTTTAGGGTAGGCCATAGGCCGTTGAGCACACGCAGGAGAGTGGTTTTCCCCGTGCCCGTGTTTCCCACCACCAGGATGTTCTGGCCCCAGGCGAGCTGGAGAGACAGGTCCCGCACGAGAGCTTCGGTGCTAGAGGGAGTGCTGTAGGACACGCGGTCTAGCACAAAGGCGTCCTTCGCCACCTCGTCCCACGGTTCAATGACGCTGCAAAGACAAAGATCCCCCATATAGCCTGAACAGACTGTTGGGGCAAGTACTGTTAGCGAGCACCTATGAAGGCTGGTATAGCACACGGTGGGGGGGGGGGGAGGCGGTGGCCAACACCATGCCTGCAGGATACTCATTTAAGGCTGAGTCGACCTAGAGGAGGCCTAGGATTGGTTCAAATATGTTTCACTGTTATTGATCATGAGTGGGAATTGAACTGCGGCTACCGGGTTTGTAGCACAGTGCACTAACCACTGTGCTAATGCACCACATATTGATGACTGCACGCACACACATACACGTGGATGTGTAGTTGAACAGTAAATGGATACACTGCATATTGTTTCAAATGTTATATTATGCACGTGAAAACACCCATTTTTCCAAATACACTTCCAATGTTGTAGTTACCAGGTACTTCATGGTACGTGTAACATATTGAAACTGTGATCCTATTGCGTATGTTCATGATGCGTAAAATTTCACTTTTATACTTGTAAACACATTGCTATGATTGGTAGTATTTGAAAACTGTAAAGAATACAACATTTCACCTCCCAACCCTTTGTGCGTTTAAAAAAAAATATTCTACCAACCCTTTAAAACTTCCATAATATGCACTTACATTCAGGATATGTACCAAGGTGTAACCTCGGGCAAAATGTCATTGTCAGAAGTGTACCGTGCGTTGGAAAATGTGAAAAGAAAATTTACCAAAACAATTGGATATCATGGCAATAAAATGCACAAGTGGTTTATTTCAACGCCGCATTAAATATCGTGGGCATTTTGGGCAGGGGATAGAATCTACATGCAGCTCACACGACTCTGTGTGCTAGCCTTCCCCCTGCAGCTAGCGATACACCTCGGCACGTCGATTAGTGGCAACCGAGATACCTCAGCTTAGTGACGCTTGCCAGGGACCTTGCCTCCATCCCCTCCGTGTTGCATCTCTCACACTGACAGCTGCACGCAGGCACACACACACACCACACACAGGGAAGTCAATCTGATCGCCAAGTCGGACAAGGACCTATTAGAGATCACAAAATATCTTGAATAATAATATCACAGGCATGAGTGACAACTAAAGTTATCACCATTATTTTTATGATGCCTCTTCGGTGATCGGTCTTTTGTTACCGTGGCACCCAAGCTATGCAATGCTTTGCCATTTTAAATCAGGCAATCAGAGTCGGTAGATATATTTAAGTCTGCTTTGAAAACCCATCTCTTTAAACTGGCCTTCCCTCTTTAGTTTGGTCGGTTGCCCTGGCTCTGTTTTTGTTTCCTGCTTTTCATGCATTGTGCATTGGGATCCTAGGATAGAATGCGCATTATAAATTTTAATGATTATTTTATATGAAAGTATTATTAGAGCTTCTGGACAGTCTAGAGGTCAGAGCATTGAGCTGGTACCATTGAAGTCTAGGGTTCGAATCCATGTATCCACCTGTGATTAAACAGAGTTTTTCAGTGTAGAGAGTTGATCGTTTCTGTCCAGGAAACAATGACTACAAAACACCATCATATTAAATTTGGGCAAAATGCCAGGTCTGAGATTTAGAAAAAATGTCCTGTAAAACGCATTGCTCTGTTGCAAAAGTGTGAAAATACTGCCCCCTGGTGTGTGGATCAGAGAACACGTAAAGGGATCTCAGATGTAGTTTTATGATATCCCCTTCTGTGGGCCATTGCACATGCTGGGAGAGAGCTCCGAATAGATTCATCGTTTTATGACACCGATAGCACAATCGGGATCAAACTTGGCAAAAAAAAGGACGAAATTATAGTCTTGCTTTGCAGAAAGGTTTTGAAACTTTGCAGTTTTTTTCTCGATTATGAATGAGTAGAGGAGTGGTGGGAGTGGCTCTAGCCGGAGTGCTCTCACCTCTCAAAATCCCATGATGCCTCCCGGGTTGGATCCCACTTATCGTGGGGGGCATCTGTCGGCTCCAGCAATACCTCTTGCAGCTCTCCAATCCTGAACAGATGAGGCAGCTGCTGCTTAACACGGCATGCATGCAACCGGCAGATAACGACGCATGCCTGCGTGTGATGCGTGGAATTGTCGTGCAGGCCTGATGTAAATTACTGAGTGTGCCTTGCATAGGTCTATAACTCTTTTTGTCAATCCACTGCCGGATGAGGGCCTTCAACGTTGTGCTGGTTGTGGGGGGGATATTTGACCATACTTAACCATCAGTGCGAGTACATCTGGGAAAACAGATGTACAGTGGAACTATTGAGATTGCTGCACTGCTCACACTGTGACATACATTTATCCTTCAAGCCTAACTCTAGGACCAGCAGGGAAGAAAATCCAAGCTTTTCTACTGTGCTATAATATAGATTAACTGGACTTCAAATTGCAAGGGGAAAATGTTCTAATGGGAAAAGCAGATATCATAATGCGAGTAACCTGTGCGTGTATCCAGCCACATCTGACAGCTTGCTAGACAGGTCGATCAGCTGGCTGAAGCAATTGATGAGGTAGATGCATACGAAAGCATTCTGTCAAAAAAGACAAACACAGACATGTTAAACGCTGCATTTTAATTCGGTCGAGGACGGCACAGATCCAATTCAATCTAAGTGTATTTTTATAGTCTCCTTTAACACAACCTAGTTTTGAAGACATGACAGCTGCTTGCAGTGGCTAGCCATAACTGGGCGAGTTCTCTCATTAGTGAGGGGCTGGAAAAAGCTTTGTTTGGGCTCTCATCTGGGTGGCAAGCTGGTGGGGCTTGTAGGGGGGTGGCACAGAAGCCCATGTCCCTGATTGCCGGCTTATGCCTCCGCCTAATCAGAGAAGAAATTAAAGAGTGGGGCCACTAATCTATGCAAATTCTCGTGGTAAAGCATGCACATTGCAAGCCTCTGGAAAACATCACATTAGTGGAAGTCATCGGTCTGCTCCATACGTAATCTGCATGATCGTCTGCTCTCTGGCATAATCTGCATAATCATCCAGTACTCTCGTTCTAATCTTTTGTCATTTGAGCTGTAAGCAGGCAAGTTCCTGGAAATTGAACTTAAGAAAGAAAATGCAAATGATTCATTAAAGCCTGATTAGTCGAAATGCATTTATAGTAAGATCTTCACCTCCTTATGAGTGGCATCTCTACTTATGTTAAACAACTTAAAAATTGCAAACCACCCCCCCTCCTCCTCCCCTCCAAAATGTAATTTATGCTGTAGAGCTGCAAAAATACTTAGCCATCATCGAAAATAAATTAGCATTGCTGGCTAAATGGAAACGTGTAACGTTGAAAATATTCGAGCAAGACTACATCCGCGGTCAACGTATTCACATTGCTACAGACCGACCAACAAAGACCCTCCTCGTAGCCGTACAAAATGTTGGGGCAAGTGCTGTTCGTGAGCACCTATTAAGCCCAGCAAGGCGCACGAGGGGTGGTGTGGCCAGCACCGCTTTCGATCTCTTTTGTCCCCTGCATGGTGATGTTTACACACTGGGTTTATTAGTAATAAATCGGCATTTTGAGACCGCCACTGCCACTGTGTAGCATATTGTTATGTGCCAGGGACTCTATGAGATGATAGGACAATAGTCTGAGTCCATAATTGGCAATAAGTAACAGCAAAGTAGTTATAAGTGACTCACAGAATTGTGCGCAGTTGCGTATAGAGTACACGACTTCCCTGAAGGCATTCACCTTCAGCGAGCGTGATACCGATCACACACGGTTCGAATTCGACCCTCGATCGATGGCTGTGCCATCGCCGCACATGCGTCGAATAAAAAGCAAGGGACAAGTCTTACTTGCTAACAACTCCTATCATTTTTCATTGCTGGACGGGTTGCCCCCCCTACCTGAAAATCCTGGCTCCGCCATTGCGTTTACACACCGCCCTAGGTACTCATTTACGATGAAGTCGACCGAGGAGGGCTTGTGACCGGTTAACATGTTCGCCACCGATGTTGGCGACCATGTAAAACGAACTCACGTCACCGAGTTCGCAGCGAAGTGTGAGAACTGCTGCGCTACCGCTCCCTACGCTGTGGCTACTGCTCCAGCCAAGGCTCACCTTGCTGACGAGTGCGCTGAGCTCGGAGGGGCTCAGGTGGTCGTAGACGCCGGCAAAAATTGGGATGGCGATGACGACGTAACTTAGGATGCTGCCCATGTAGTCAAACATATTCACTGCCACTGTGGAAGGCAGCAACAACGCGTATGCCGTAATTTAAACCAACACATATCACATAGCTTCTGGTATTTCAAATAGGAAAAAAATAAGCTGACACTTTCTGACGATTTTAAGGCACAATCCATGTGCATGAAGTAAATGGAAATATGTTTTCCTCATAGAAGGCCTTAAAAATGTGAGCAATATATAAGGTACAATATCAGGTCAGTTATTCACCATTTGGGAAAAACAGTGAGAGACAGACACGGATAGATTCATCACCCTCCCCCAGCTTCTCCACTGACCCCTCCCCTGGCCTCCAGTTCCAGCTCACGATTCTAGAAGCGATTTATTTGTCTTTTTTTACATATCTTGTTCGTTTGGTTTTTTTATCTGCTTCGTTTCTCACCGTTTGGTTTGGTCCATTAGCCTAAATGTAACATGAGCATATAATCTGGATATTATTTTCACAAGGAGCATACAATCGATTCTCACTCAAACAATTTGACACGTATCATCGGTGCAAGGACCGATTTATGCAGACTATTCAGCCCATCCTTACATCACTACATAGGCCAGGAAATGAATTGCAATACATTGTTGATTACTTTATCAACAGACCTAACCTGATATTCCTTGTAATTTTAACAAAAACAGTACCTACGTCTAATGTAACAAGAGCATCATTCAAGTAGCTCATGAAACAAATGATAAGGCATCTCAAGTTCAGTCTGAGGGTGCATCCTTGGAATGGGTTCATTGCTTGACCAGGGTAGCACAGTCACTGAAGAACACAAACTCCTTCTATGAAAAAAGTTAATTAACGCTCGCCCAATTTGCATGCTTTAGTTTTGCGAAGTGTAGCAAAATGCATGTTTTCCTGCAGTAAACTACAAACGGACTTAATTACGTGCCCCAATGTGACAGCTGTAACTTGATTTAAATACGCTTTAATCTACAAATCGGATCACGGGCAACACAAAATTGGAAATATTTCAAGAAATACTTTTGAAAAAACCAGAGCACATCGTTGGGACTTAACCACAAATGGGACTTAACAGCAAATACGACACAAGGCAATTCATCAGACATGCAAATTAAGAATAAAATCATCTGCGACTACCGCTCAGAAAGCAACGATTGCAATCAGTGACTGAAAAACGGCGTCAACATCAACAGCACATTCAGAAAATGAAATTACTAACACGAATTAACATTGACAATTATAAATAAAATGAAGATTTACATTTGTTTGTATTTTTTTATCTTAATTTTATTTATCAAAATTCTTATTACGTTCTGTCAAAAACAGAACGTACAATTTGTACATCTGATATTTATGCTATTCTTACTATTCTGTCCATTGCTGGATAAGTTTGTATCAGTTGGCATAGGCACCCTCTAACAGAATGTGAAAAAATCGGACAGATTAGAACAACCGATCCAAGTTCTTCTCACTTGTGACCATCACAGTTGGTTGCTTCTATAAATATTTACCACTTTAAATTGATAACCATCAGTTCCTAGTTTTATGCTGGACTGTGTCAGAAGAAGACCTGATTTTCAAATGTAAGATGACAATGAATTAGGTCACTTGGGAGGAAGAGCACACATTCACAAGAGTTTGCATATTCTTGGTTCTTTCAGGTAAAGTCACATAGAAGGGAAATAATAAAATAATTAAAATAAAACAATCAAATGATCACGACGTTTCGATTGCAATTCAAGCAATCATCATCAGGTGTGAAAACCACAGCAAGAAAATTAGAAAAAAAACGGCACTTAAAAAAATTTTTCAATTTTTTTTGGTTATTTTATTATTTCCCTTCTACGTTACTTTACCGAAAGAACCAAGAATATGAATCCCTCCAGTCACGAAAGCTTTAAATCGAAAAGAGTTTGCATGTTCTCCTCGTGGTCATGTGGATTTTTCTCCTGGTCGTCCAGTCTTTCCCTGCCACGTTTCGAAAAATAAGTTAAGAGTATTTGGGCTGCCATACATTTCCACATGATAAGTCACTTCGTTGAGCAATCATTTGTGGCAAGGTCGCTTCTGAAAAAGAGCTATTTTGCTCGGTGGGCTTTACCTGGTAAAAATAAAATAAAAAAGTAAAAATGACCCCGTGCAAAAGTGGTACTTGAAGAGAAAAAGCTTGTCCACCAGGCATTGGGAATTTGATGCAGAACAATTCACGCCAGAGGATAACAGCAATGAAGAGCCGCCGTGTGAGGCCGCTGCACACTCTGTCCGTCTAGCTGCTCTGAACCCTGTGTGAATGCTTTTTTTTCACGGTTGCTGGGTAGAGACCCCCCAGAATGCCAAGCGGCCAGCAAAGTATAGCTTGTTTCTTTATTTCCTGCATTATACATAAGGTGCACTCATTTTCCCTCGATTGAAAGCCAAATTTGGGGGTGCGTCTCGTAATCAGTTAGCTGTGTGTGTGTGTGACCAGATTTGCGTAACTTTATTGACACCGGGCACCAGTTTGGGGTGCATCCCGCTTCCCGTAGTATCTTAAAATCCGGAGAATACGGTAACACGTAAGAATTCATATTTTTTCTTGAGTTGAGAGAGTTTATAATGACCTGGGGAAAGAGACGATGGGAGGAAATTACAAAGTCGAGCAGTGCGAGGAAAGAAGTGGTAAGGGCAGTCTGTTGATCTTATTGCGTGGAGTTTTTGTTGTTGTTGTTGAACATGTCCAGGTTTTTGTCAGCCCAATCGTGAACTGGTGGTGGAGACACTCACGGTACAACCAGAACTCCTTGTTCATGAGCGTCTGTTGGGTGCTGAGAAGGCGGTGTAGGCGGGCATTGGTGCGAGTGTGCTCCACTCTCCCGGCCCTGACAGAGACAGCACTCTGAAGTATGCATCTCTTAATGGTCGTTAACATTTAGAAACATGTTTTTACATTACTTAGCAAATATAAATGACCAAATATGCGAAGTCAATTCTATGAGCAATCACATGTGGCCAGGTCATCTTTGGAAAAGAGGTAAAAACTCAGTGGGATTTAAATGGTAAATAACATAGTTAGGGAGTAAAACATTAACCCAGTTAAGTGGTTCAGAGATAGAACAAGCAACTTCCAATCGGACGATTGTGAGTTCAAATCCTGGATTGTGGGGTTGACTCAGCCAATCATTCCTCTAGGATCTATAAATGAGGTACAAACTTGTAGGGAAGTCAAAAGTGGTTGTCCTAAGGGTGTATTTGCCCCTGTCACAGGAATGTGGCATATCCAGCACTACCTCTGGGTTCTAAACAAGAGATAAGCACCCTCTCAATGCTCATTTAAACAAGACAGTTGGACTTTAGAATAGTTATTTTGAGAAACATCTTAAGAGATAGAGTTCAATGCATCTGTCCAATATTTAGAGGCCAGAAGATAGAGGGCTAATTAGATTGTTTATGTTCATAATCTAAAATTACAGCTATAATCTTTTTTTAAAATTATTTTTACTGTGACCTTACATGGCACACAACTTTTAAAATTGGTTATTACAGAGTGACTGAATACCCAGACTGTTTCATTCGGTGTACATTTGGAGAAGAATGAAAGCATACAAGGCACACCCTGGGACATCTAAACTGCCAACGTGTAGAGGAAAGTGCAAAGGGCAAGTGGCTGGACTGTGGCGGTACCTGTAAAAAGCAGCCGATTCAGCATTCACTCGGATCTCCATGTGCTTAAACCTGGCAAACAGTTAATGAGTTACTTCTATAATAGACGTGAGTTAATAGTTTTGCATATTTTATTACATAAACATCGTGCTTTAAATGAAAACCAATTCATATTCATTGTCCTTTTGGAGACCCTGGTGAATCATAACATAGGCACAACTATTATATTTTACAATGGTGTGACAGAAAGTTATACATTTATCAGATTAGTCCCATAAAACACGTGATTCATTGACCTACTGGAGTAAATTAGGTCACATGATCTAAGCCAGGCGTCGGTAACCAAAGTAAAAAGAGCCATCTTTTCGAAATCGGTAAGAAATCAATATTTCAAGAGCCGCAATTCACGTGAATAACGTTACAAAACAGTCCTTAAAGACTGCAGTCCTTAAAGACTGCTAACCCAAAAAAAACCCTGGATTATGGAGTCCTTAAAGAGGCCACATGTGGATCCGGAGCTGCAGGTTGCCGACCCCTGGTCTAAACTATCCGACCGGAACATACACATAGTTGGGAGTGTGAGCAGGCGAGGACACCTTCTCGACAGTCACTCTGAAGTTACCACCGGACACTTCTGTGAGAGCTAAATAAGGTAAAGGTGCAGCGCTGCAAACGCCTGCACACGCCACTGCTGGCGGAAGGGCCTCCACTACAGTCCCCCTATAGATGGTATTTGGCCTACTCTTCTACACGAGCCAAACATTTTGGAAAATGTAGAAATATCCATACTTTACCCCACTACATGCAACCTGCCGGTGCACTCATTTATACTGCTGGATGGACAGAGGCAGAGAGGATTTAAGAAATCTACCCAAGTTGTCAACAGCCACACCTCTGGATTGCAAGTCTAGCATGCTCACCATTACATCGTGGTAGCAACTCCTAATTTTCCGTGTTAAAAATGAAGAACAAATTGTGCGTATATATTTATTTATCGTGACTTCTTCGCCATCATCTGTTAATTCGCTCTTAATGGAGGGGAAAATAAAGAGGGCTGGGTCATAACATGCACCAACCGGAAGTCTCCCTCCATCTTCTCCTGAGCGACGAGAGTGGAGATGATTGGCCCCATGAGCAGCTTGTTGGTCACCGTGCCCACGAGGAAGTAGGCGAACACGCTCACGGGGCCGATCCAGCCTGTGCTGCGCGCCAACAATCGAGCACAACCACCAGGGCCTTTAGAGTGTATCTCTGTCCTCACCAACATCATTCGCAACGATCAATCAAATTCCTGATGAAGGCCTCGCCAGGCCGTTGCCATCTCACATGGTCCTGCAATGCAGCGATCCATCTAGCACGCTTGCACGCCAGCTGATTTCACAGCTTTGCAGCAGACATCCTCCCGATCTTTCGGCCGCTACTCCCGATGTTAGTATTGAGCACAGGCCATCAATGGCTATCCCCCGAAGGTAGCATCTACGTAGTAAGCTGCTGATCTGTATGTAGGCATCTTTGTACGTGTAAATGTATCGTTGTCCGGAGGGCTCTTCTGAGCACTCCATCAATTCTATTTAATGGGGTTTCGTTTGAAAGTGTATCAGTGCTGGCGCTGCTCATTCACACGGCCGATTGAAAATCCACCACAGCCCCGTTTCAAAACATCTACAACGGACAGCCTTGTGCCGTTAGAGAAGGGGTGTGTGGAGGCAGGGGGAGCTGATGAATCTCAATTGGTTCTCCACTATATTTTACAAATTAGGGAGTGGTGAGAGTCAGGTGAGTTGATGACTGACGCGTGGTTTTAGAATATCTGAAAAGGGTCAGGCTGCGCGCTCACGCAATACATAACACTATTAATAAATAGGCTGGAAAGAGCAACCAATGAAATTCCTTATACTTTTTGCAAGACAGTTAATACGTGATATGAACAAATCACATTTTTGCTTATAGGTAATGTAGAAGCTTGCCAATTTTCAGCGTTCAAGCTGAACACAATGGTCTACAGTTGGGTATGGTAATACGATCAAAGTTAACACAATGATTAGAGAGGTACTGAAGGCTCTGCGGTCAGAAAAGCGTGTTGGCATTGTGTCTGCACCTGATGAAGCACTGATATGTATAGTAGCACAGAGTGAACGGCGACATCAGCAACTTGCTGGCCATCAGGCTGAGCTGCTTGCAGAACCTCTCCACATCCTGGCTGATTCTCTGATCCCTGCAGAACAACGGAGGAGCACGTTCTAATTAAAATATTAAAATGCTTAACGCAACAATACTGTTAAAGGGTTTAACATAAAAAACACATGATTACAAGATATTCCTTCAAGGTTCCATCTACACATTTAGGAATCATTGATAGAGCTTTGGCAGGTTTTTGCTTCTCAATTATGGAACGTATTGTAAAAAAATGTTGGTTTCTGCCACAACTGTCTCACAATACTAAAGTAGTTGACATGATTACTTAACTTATTTATGAACATAAGCCCTTTAGTACCACGGTCATGAGTGAAATATCTTCAGCCTATGTATTGTGTGTTGCTCATGCTCAATGTGATGTGTGTTTGGGCTTTTCTGTTGCCCACCATGTGTGGCGTTTCAATGTCAAAACACTTTTAGCGCCGTCGGAGCTGCCACGCAGGTGCGAGGCGCTTCCCTATAAACAACAACGATGACGGGAAAATTAAGATGGCGAGCCAGTGGAAACTGAGCATTTAGAGATGGACAATAAGTAGAGATGGACTCTCCCTTATTGATGCGCAAACTCCGGCAAATTGCGTACTTCAGGTTCGAAGTGGACTGCGACCCTCAAAGAAATGTCGTCGTCGCCCCCGTGGTCGCACCCATGATCACCCCCCCCCCACCCCCCCGTGGATCAAGCAAATCACTCGAGATGCCGGTATGGCAGCAAGAGCAGTTTATGCGAATTCTGTCGCAAGAAGTCACACGTTTGGCGCACAGCCAGCGATCCTTCGCTGACTATGCCTCATGAATGACTACCCTTATATTTTAATAAAACTTACCATTTAACCCAGGCCACCCTTGGGAATAAGACCTCAGTTAATGTTGATGTATATATCCTGGTAAAATGTAACTTTACCTAACTACTACTACACGTAGTGTAAAAACCTTAGGGCTAAAACAGCTTATAAGTTAACAATTATATTCTTACGTATGGCAATATGTTCACAATATGAATGCCAATGTCGAGGTCGGCTGGCCATGAGAATGCTTCTGCAGCGAATTTGTGTAGTTTTGCTCTGCCTTCTTCGTAGAAGTAGTGCAGACTACAGTGGTTTACTATATGAGTCCATAGTTTGGGTTGCATGGCCAAAGTCGCGGTTGATGGTAAACCAGGCGACTTCGAGGGAAGTCAAAACCAGGAGGTGTGATGTTTGGGGTCTTGCTCAACAATCATATCATCGTTTTGACAAAAAGACGGTCTGCCGCTCACGGGTTGTCGAGAGCATCCTGCAGCGTGTTGAGCCTATAGTAGGCCCGTCCGCGGAAGTAGAGATCGTGCAGGTGCTCGGTGACACTTCGTCTCCAGGTGAGGTACAGAAGGCTCGACACGTACTGGTCACAGCTCTTCAGCTGCAAGCACAGAAGGAAGGGCCAAAACAGGCATGTTGTGCTCTTCAAGAGCCTCAGAGGACACAAACACTTGAATGCATCACGTGTGGAGATAGTGAAAAACACAACGGATATAATGAGGGGCGCGGTGGTTTTGGAAGGGAAACAAGAGGGAGGAGAAGAACACCACTGCAGTACAAACCAGGATACAGCATCCGGGGACAAGCACCAACAACAGTTCACCTATTAACACTCGAGATGCAAAGACCATTCGCACAGTGAAAAATGCAATACTTACGAAAGAGTTAATAGCAATAAGGATAACAGCGATGGCGACCAGCCCCTTGAACTTAGGAAAGTCTTTGCTGCCCAGGATCTCGTAGAATTGGCTTGGGATGACGCCCACCTGATAAATAACCAGCTGCCCTGTGGGCACCCAGAATACATTTTTCAGTTCATGGGTTCAGCTGCCACATGTTGTTTAAATCATATTAAGTCCGCATATAAATATATACCGTTACAATTATTTGATTACTTGTTACACTACAAGATCATTAACTGGTTTCTAGATTAAAAAAAGTTCGTCTCATTTTCATAATCTAGTTTTCATTATGTTAAAATGTATTTATTTTATTATTTCCCTTCTACGTGACTTTACCGAAAGAACCAAGAAGATAGTTTTCACTGTTGCTCGTTTTTTAGATTCTTCCGTTGAAGACATTAGTTTGCTCAATCACCCTACATGTAACACGAGCATATAATTAGCTTCAACTCTAAATAATCATATCACACAGGTGCAATTTAACATTACCAAAGAACAGCCCCGAACAGCTAAAGCTGAAATTAATCTCAAAACACGACCAATAAAACGTGTTGCCAATCATATTAAAAAGTAAGTTTAATTTACCATCTTTAAATACATTTTAAGAAAAAAAAATTCGATTGGCGATTTGACATTGCGATCTTGTTCATATTAACATTCAAGTTTAGAAATAAAAAAACTACTGAATGAGACATGCAAGTGCATGGCTTGCAGAGGGGAACTAGAAGTGGCAGTGACTCAATGTCTTGTGTAATTCTTACTTGCTGACCTGCCCCTATCTAACTTGCTTATCTGCCCCTACTGGACATCAGTGAAAAAGAGCTTCACAGCTCATCGGATTCCTACAGTCTAAATAATTCTCACCGAGTAGGCCGATGACCAACAGCGTGGCAAACATGAGGGAGCTTGTAGACGTGACGTGTGGAAAAAGGATCGATCCATACTTTCCAAACCTCCTCACAAACACCATGTCCAGCTTGGGCCTAGGACATAAGCACAATCAACACATTCACCGATATGGATATACGCCTGCTACTAAAACATGGACATCATCAGAAAGTTTCAATTATCAGACACTGTATTTGACTTTGGCTGAGACAGCCAAAGAGGCACATAAATAGGAAAGTATCTATATATAAGTTCCTGAGTACTTATTATTCTTGTGTACGTGTTATATATCACAATGTTAAACGTACTAGGTGGAGCGTTGCCCAAGTGGTTAGTGCACTGTGCTTCAAACCCAGCATGCCTGAGTTCAATCACCAGCCACGGCTAACTGGCTAACGCCAGGCTAGCCGTGGTCCACACTGACCATGGAGGTGAAGTATGGTCACACAACCCCATGACTGACACTGCATTGGGGGCACCCTTCATCCAGCAGTGGAAAGGCCTTTAACTGAATGTGTTCGTGCATCATATTACACAATGTATAGCCCCTGCATATTGGTAGAGCATGCATCTATACAGCTGGCATGAAGAAAGCACTGGCTGAGCTTCACGTGTTTTTTCCTGTACAATAACTTCCTTCCTGGAAAGACGTCCAACTCATGTATTGGAAAACATAGTGAAGTCGTCACCATCCCCACGCTGTTTGTCCTGCTCTCCGCAGTCGTACTGCATATTCAGTGGCATCATTGATCATTTCTAGGAAATGTTCTGTGATTGACAAAAACATTGACGAGGTGACACGATGTGACACTCGGGTGTCTCATCGTCAACGTCACATGTTTAGAACGGAACACTTGGCCATGTATCTCTTCTCCCTAACTGTGATATATTTCAATTGGGCTGTCGGTGGCGTAATGTCAAGAGACGAAAAAATGTACAACAGTGAGCAGTGCACTACATTGTGCCGAACAATGGCTTCTTGAAGATGACATCCCACAAGTAGTCGAAGTCACTTCAATCGTCCCTTAGCCACGCTAGGTGGCGCACAAGTTCTCAAAAGCCCTGCCAGGCGATGTTTGATCTCAAAACACTCAACGTCAATGGGTTTGATATCAAACAATATAAATGATCAAGTTACGATCCGATTAAAGTGATTGATCGGTCACCGATCTGAGACCAGAAATTCGTTAATGCTTGAGAGCCCACTCTTACCAGAACCCGGATTTGAACACAGGATCCCCGGTGTCTCCAACACAGCCATCGTGAACCTCATGTGTGACCCACCCAACCAATCACCCCCGCAGTGTGCACATTATGATGACACCTTGACGCCTGCCAGACTTACCGTCTCTTCTCCTTGCTACGGGTTCCATCCCGAGTTCCGTGCATGGTCGTGGTTGCCTTTCTCCTCTTCCTCTTCCCTTCTCCTCCTCCTCGTTCTCCAACTCTCTTATTTCACGCCCCACGATCCTCCCTCCGAGAGTCCTGGGTGCAACTCAAGGCGGACCCTCGCCTCTGACCTGGAAGAGATTTGAGTGTGAATGTTGACAACGTGTGATCGCATCGCCACCGTGTGGTGACGACAATTTTGATTACACCACCGCATTTATAAATGGAAATAGGGCCCAGAAATGCATTGTTGAGTGCAACATTTAATACTTGTACTTTTCATCTAGATTTATTTTGGAATATTTCTTGATTATTAAAGAGTCTCTCTGTGAACCCAATAGCAAGCTACGTTTAGGTAACTCCATATGTCAATAAAAAAAAACGGTCATCAGAAAACATTTAATTTGTTTTAATTCTCAAGTGTTGTCTTCAACTCTTATTATTCGTTCTGGCCTCTCTATGTGAAGAACCATTTCCTGAAATGTGTAATATTTTAACAAAAAAAACAGCACCATAATGTAGTAAAGGGTGGCAATACGGTACGATATTGTTTTCGTGTTTTGTACTCGAAAATAAGTATCGTACAGTAATTTCGCACCGTACCTTTGAACTTTTTTTCGTCCCGTACTTATTTTTCGTAAAGTACCAATACAGTAACATTTAGTACCACAATTTCGTGCGTTATATTATACCGAAGAAAACAAATATTGGAAAATAAGGGATAGGTGACAAGCAAGCTTATAGTATATTGTTTTGCTTGAATGTTTTTTTTTATAGAAAACTTACTATTAAAAAACATAAAAAATCTTCTGTAAACATGCCAGATTTTTTGCTCGAATTGACAATAAACATTTTAATTCAAAATAACAATTCCGAAATGTTTATGAAAAACGCTTAAAATTCTCATCCGTTATCAATGTTAAGTGTCATT